AGTTGTCGTAGTAGTTGTAGTATACTCGTAGTAGTAGTAGTAGTAGTAGTAGTAGTAGTTAGTTTAGTAGTTAGTAGTAGTAGTAGTCGTAGTAGATAGTAGTAGTTAGTAGAGTAGTAGTCGTAGTAGTGGCTATATTATTATTATTAGTTGTAGTAGTAGTAGCAGTAGTAGTAGTAGTAGTAGTAGTAGTAGTAGTAGTAGTAGTAGTAGTAGTAGTAGTAGTAGTAGTAGTAGTAGTAGTAGTAGTAGTAGTAGTAGTAGTAGTAGTAGTAGTAGTAGTAGTAGTAGTAGTAGTAGTAGTAGTAGTAGTAGTAGTAGTAGTAGTAGTAGTAGTAGTAGTAGTAGTAGTAGTAGTAGTAGTAGTGGTGGTGGTGGTGGTGGTGGTGGTGGTGGTGGTGGTGGTGGCGGTGGTGGTGGTGGTGGTATCGGCCTGGGAGGCCCAGATGGCTTTCGTCCTCCCGAGAAGTTTCTTGTCATGGCGACCGGCCCCTATCAGCCAAAAGTGTTTGTGGCCGGCGCTGTGACTGGAATTGTTTGTGCCCGAACTTTTGGCCGAAAACGTAGTGTGACCCAACTTGGGGCCAGACTTGAGAATCGTATTGGTCTCGAACCACACATTTTGGTCACACTCGGGCGCGGTCGGAAAACTTCGGGCGGCGGTTTTGGTCATGGTTGGGCAGATTTTCGGGCACCTATTCGGTCACTACACCCCCCTGATGGAGACGAGGCTGCGCGAGGCTTCTCGCAAGTCCAGAGGGCTTCTGAGAAGCTCCGCCGCCCCTGTGCGCGCAGCTGCGTCTTCACGTCTTCGCCGGCAGGAAGAAAAGCCAGCCCTCGTCCCGGCTCCCCGCTTGTCGCCTCGGTTTCCCGGCCTTGCCCCCCTCTCCCGCTCCGCTTCCTCTGCGCCCCGTGGCAGGGCAACTTTTGTAATAGCAGGGAGGGGGTCGCAAGCCTCCCAGACGAGCAGTCTGAGACCCCCACAGACCAGTCACCAAAGGGCGGCCTTTCGCCCAGACCCCCAGAAACCCTCCAAGACAGCATAAATCAGACCCCCCCCAATCAGACCCCCCAAATCAGGTCTCCCACGCTTTATTGTTGTGGAGGACGATCAATGGAGAGGAAGCATGTTGCCAAATATTTTCCAGATGTCTAAAACATGTGTTAAACACGTTTTAAACATGTAAAGCACATGTTGAACACATGTTGAACACATGTTTTACATCTTAAACACGCTTTAAATTCAATGAAGGACTGTTAGGTTGTCCATTGTCGTGGCGTCCACAACTTTCTTGCGGAATGGGAAATAAACGTGAACTGTCGGTGTTCCGCGCGGATTTCTTGGACCGGCGCTGCCCCCCCCCCCCTGTTTCCCTGCCGCGCGGAGACCGTGCCAGAGGCGACGCTGGCGGAGGCGCCGCTCGGGGGGGGGGTTCTACGCCGATCCAAGAGATCCGTGCAGAGCTCTGAAAGTTTACGTTCCCTGTTTTGTTGTGTACATGCACTAGTATTAATATAACTAGATAGATATATACAAATATCATTTATAGTATATATATATGTATATATATGTATATGTATTTATACTATATATATGCCTAGACCCCCTCGCGTTGTGAAAAAAACACGACGGGAGGTTATGCGCTATTTTCGTCTTTTCGCCCGCACCTGGCGTCGGGACCGTGAACAAAACGACTCGGGATGAAACACCGGTCCCGCGGAAGGGGTCCAGACCTCTTGGGGGTCGACGTGATGAATCAAATTATGATCTCGGGGGTTCGTATATATATATATGTATATATATATATATATAAATGAATATATACATATATATATATATGTATATATATATACACATACGTACACATGATTATAACATGGGGGAGGAGGAGCCTCTGAGATCAGGGAGGAGGGCCCTGGCCTCCTCGGCAGGCTCGAGGGCCACCTGCTGGAACCCAATGCCATCACGCTCAACGTGCTCGCCAGCGCCTGCGGCAACGCCCCCGCACCTCTCCGTCCTCGTCCTCCCCGTCTGCGCCTCCTCCATCTCCTGCTGCTGCTGCTGCTGCTCCTCCTCCTCCTCTTCCTCCCTTCCTCCTCTTTCTCCTCCTCTGCCTTTCTCCTCGTCAGCCCCGGGGCGTGTCGTCGTCACCACCACCATCACCAGCATCATTACCATCATCACGACCACCGCACTCATCATCACCACACTCATCATCACGGTCATCATTATCATCACCACCATCATCACCATTACCGTCACCATCACCATCACCATCACCATCACCATCACCATCACCATCACCATCACCATCACCATCACCATCTCCACCTCCATCTTCATCGCCATCACCACCACCATCACCAGCATTGTGAGCATCATCAGCATCATCATCATCATCACCATCACCATCACCATCACCATCACCATCACCATCACCATCATCATCATCATTACCACCGTCGTCGTCGTGGTCGTCGTCGTCGTCGTCGTCGTCAG